TGCTGCATAAATGACAACAGGAAACGGATAAGCTGTTATCAGGAACACCAAACATCCCATTAAAAAAACATACACAGAAAACTTTCAGTTCTCACAGCTGTGTGTGTCTGGAAAGCACCGAAGTTACAGACTCTCCCTGTGCGTCCCAGCAGGGATCAGTCTATTGGCAGATGGTCCCTGCTGTCAGCGGACACGTGACCGTGCTACTCCTTTCTCCTGATTCCACACCAGCTCTCCGGCGTTCCCGAGTCTGGCAGTAAGTTTGTGTTTTCTTTGCACTCAGTTTGTTAGAATTAAGAATTATTTATCGCAGAGGGAGGGAGCGGCTTGTGTTGTGGTAATAATGGTCAAGCTGCTTTGATACACAGGATTGGGAACATTATACAGAGGAGAACATCCTGCTGTAATTACTGTGAAAAGAAACTTCTGTATGAATGAGTGGAGTGTATCACGTGACCTCTGCTCTATGGCTTGTACGGCTGTGTATTTATGGAGTGTATTTATCACATATCACACTGATACAAGCCCCCCCCAATCTAAATTTGCCCCACCACTTCCTGTTTAAGACATTTTGCGTAACCTGTCAGTCGCTGTACCCAGCTTCTGACAGGTTGTGCTATTAGCTTAGCCGGGAAGCCTGCTAAACATTTTGCTTCTCCTGTCAGATGCTGGATACAGCGAGCGCCTGTTTAAATAGTAACAATCTTGGAGAGGAACTGCTGCACTCCTTACCGGAACCCCTATGTATAAAGAAGGGTGCTGTAGTAAACACGGATGGCGTCGTGCATCTTCAAATATATGATAAATGTCACCAGCGCACCTATGTCAATAATCCATCTTCTTTATTGATGCAGACTGTCACAAAACAAAGTTTCGGGGGCCCGAAACAAGGTATGCAAAGAATGCAAAGCCGGCAATTATCTAGACGTGTGTGTTTTGTAGATTGTCATTACTAAACATTTATAAAGGTGTATTTATTGTTATTTTAAAGATAAGGGTAAAGGTCCACTTTAATGGCAGGTGAAGCTCTGGGGGCGGCGGTTTTGAAAGTGCCACCCCAGACAAATGCCTAGTTTGCCTTGCGGTAGATACGCCTCTGGGTTTGTTCTCATATTATACAGCTTTGGTAACTCTAAAGCCCCTTTCACATGGACTTACCAATCAGGTCTGCCGCTCAGTATTTCCGTTTACATCCTGTTACCCTCGGCTCCAGCCAGGTCTGGAAGAACAAATGGATCAGAGATCTGTTTTGCCGGACCTGATCATGCCAGATCAGGGGTAACTGGATGTTAAACAGACCACCGTCTGTTTACATACGGCTGCACATAGACTAATATGGGTCTGGTAATGTCAGTCTTTGGAAGGGGAAACTGCACGGACACAGATGTAACATCGGTGATGGTTGAAAAGTGTGAAAGGGGCCTAAAGGAGATTGTACAACCAGCTTGTATAGTGCATGCACGGGCGTTCCAACAGTTCTCACTGTGTGTGTGCTGGGGTGGTGGGTGCCAGCACTGCACGTTCTGAGAAAGGGGTGGCACACAGCATCTCTGCCCGGCATCCTGTTCCGTTACTGACGTCATTGGTTGGCAGGAGCTGGGTGGGATGCCAGCCAGAGCGTCACAGGTTGCTAAGAGCTCTTAGCAACCTGGGACACTCTGGCCAGATTAGGGGCAGCAGGCACACCCACTGTCCCCCCAACTGACTCACTGAGATTCCCAACCACCTCAGGCTACCTCATTATAAGGACAGCCTTGAGTGTATGGCCAGCTTAAGGCTGATATCAAACGGGCAACTGTTGCTGGTGATTTATTAAAATTGTCAGCAGTAACATCACTAAGCGGCTGCATGTTTGTCCCTGCGGAATCGTTCCCTGTAGTAGGCAGTGAGATGTTGATCCAATTACTAGCAATTAAGATTCAGCATCATATGGGCCAGTGACAGAGCGACATCTCACTGCTAGTGATGGGCTCGGGCGTGTTCGCAGCTCCACGTGCCGAGCCCGCCAGGAAGCTGACAGCGCGCAGCGCCAATCACAGGCACTCAGGCATGTCCCGATCTCTGCAGCTGCGGACCGGGAACATGTCTCAGTACCTGTGATTGGCGCTGCACGCTGTCAGCTTCCTGGCGGGCTTGGCACATGGAGCTGCGAACACGCCTGAGCCCATCACTACTCACTGCGTCTGGCTATGGAGGGAGCAGTGGCGTAACAATAGCCATAGCGACCCAGGCAGCCGCTATGGGGCCCGGGCCCAGGGGGCCCGGCCAGGACACCCCCCTGATGCCGTGCGGGCCGTCTGGGTCGCTATGGGTTCGAACGCACCGCTGTTCAGATCACCGTGAAAGAAATCACAGGGCCCCATACAAAATTTTGCTATGGGGCCCTGTGATTTCTAGTTACGCCCCTGGGAGGGAGCGATTCCACAGCAGCAGACAGGCAGCCTCTAGTGATCCTGCCTCGGCGATTGGTCTCTAGTGACAGAATCTGCTCATCTGACATCATCCTGAGTGTTTTAATCACACTGGTTTGCAGATTGCTATCTTTCTGTGTCCTTTCTGATTTAGGAATGGGAGGCTCTGTCTTTTCTAATGCTGGGCACACACCTTACAACCATCACAAGACTTTGTCTTGCGATGGTTGTAAGGTAATTAAAAAAACGTACGATCTGCCTATCTTGGACAGGCAGATCGTACTTGCGATGATCGCAAGCCGCGCCTCCCTGAGGGGTGGGTTTCCGATGACCGCAATGCCGAACGGGCAGTGTGCGCTTGCGCACACCGGCCCGTCCGGCTTTTATCTTACGAACATGCTACACACCCGCCAAACATCGTACGATGCTCGGCGGGTTTTCGAACATGTTCGCAAGTTAAAAGTCGTGCGACCTTACAGTAGTAGAGGTCGCACGGCTTCCACACGCCTTACGATAATCGTACGATCGCGGGATTTCCCGCGATTATTGTACAATTATCGTAAGGTGTGTGGGCACCCTTGTAGTCAACTGCCTCAATCTCCATGTTGCAATGAGACAAGATGCTGTAAACACATCCCTTAAGGCAGGGAGGAACCCTAGAAAGTATTCAACAAAAATGCTGCTTAGTAGAGGTTTCCTAAAAGTGTATTTTCACTTTTGTAGCCAATTGAGATAACACCTACTTTATATTTGCCACATGTTTCACATGGCTTAACTTGGATACAAAAATAAAATTGCTGCTTCATTTTTTAACCCACATTTACACTAGCATAAAAAACACACGCACGCAAAATCTCACGATGGAAGTGAAAGAAAATCTCTCCAATGGGACACAGACAAATAAATCAATAAATACACTTTACAACTTTTCCTGCAGTTTTCAGACTTATCACCATGGCTAATGTTAGGAGTCCTCCTCTTCCTTGGCAACGGGTGCATGGTGGCTAATTGAACACATTTTGTTACCTATATTTTACCAGTTTACCGACTAAAGACCCATTCACACCTAAGTGTTGTACTAAACACATAAAAACCGCGGTGGTGTGGTAAAATAAAAAGGACTGCATGTACTACAAATGAATGGCAACAAAAACACCTAGCACACGGTACAGCATGCAAGGTGAGTATTGTGCTAGTAAGGGCACTTAGACAATCTCAGTGGCCAGTAAGGACGAAGTGAAACTAAATCAGAGAGGGACACATGGTGGTGGCACCATTTCCTCTACACTGAGGCTAGGTGCAGCAAGCTCCAGACACTGGAAAATGTATTTGCCTTGGCATGCAGTATGGGTAGAAGGAATGGACTCCTGTGGCTGTCCATATGGCCAGAAGAAACCAATCTGAGGAAAGACCTGCAAACCGGCGCACCCACACATCCTGGCCCGGCCTGCTTAGAGTCTTAAAACCCTGTAACTCTGCCAGGAGTCCAGACATCCAAAAAACAAACATGGACTTTCAAGACATCTTCTCGCATCCAATCCTTGCAGGGACAGGACAACACATAGGATGTATGTGTGGGTTGGGACCTTTCTCTCTGTATTTTCTGCGTTGTTCAAGTGGGATAAGCAAGCTCTCGGTTAGCTGTCATGATGGAGGAGGGGAAATTGGATGATTTGGCTAAAGGTGGCCATACACTTTACAACCATCGCAAGACCTTAGTCTTGCGATGGTTGTAAAGTAATTCAAAAAACGTACGATCTGCCCATCTTGGACAGGCAGATCGTACTTGCGATGATCGCAATGCTGAACGGGCAGTGTGCGCGTGCGCACACCGACCCGTTCGGCATTTGTCTCCCGAGCACCGTTCAAACCAACCGAAAATTGTAAGATTTTCGGCTGTTTTTTTAGCGTGCTCCTTAGACAAAAGACGTGCGACTGTACAGTAGAAACGTTCGCAATTCTTCATTCACACTGCACGATTCTCGTACGATCGCGGGATTTCCCGCGATTCTCGCACGAGAATCGTGCAGTGTATGGGCACCTTTTATATACATCTCATAGCTCCTCAACCCTGAAATGATTATATATGGTGGAAAGTTATTGGGCTCCTTCTAACCGCCTCCACTATGGCTACATTCACAGCAGTTCTGATTCCAGATGCGCTCATGCAAGATTTCCCCCTGTTATTTGGGGGGAATATTTGTTCTATTTGGGGGTGACCTGTGGGCAGCGTAGTGGCTTAGTGGATAGCACTTTCTTCCTTGCAGCCTTTTTAGCGATTTGCATGTTCTCCTGTGTTTGCATGGGTTTCATCCGGGTACTCTGTTTTCCTTCCACACTCCTGAGACATGCTGGTAAGTTAATTAGCTCCCATCTTAATTGACTGTAGTATATGTGTGTATGTACCATATGTATGCTTGTGAGATAGGGACCTTAGATTGTAAGCACCTTGAGAGCAGGGACTGATGTGAATGTACAGTATGTAAATGCTGCGTAAGTTGTCAGCACTATATACTAATAATGTGGCTATGATGCCCTTTCACTCATTTTGTTTTAGGAATTGAACACTTATTCTTTATTTGTGTGAAAGAAAAAATGCCTCCGAGGAAAAACAAACTTCCAGTTCCTATGCCTGAAGGTTGGATAGTGACTGACACGAGCAAAAAAAGTTGGAAGTTGGGCAAAAAGCTTGGCCAGGGAGGATTTGGCTTAATCTATTTAGGTGAGTATGAGATATAATTTTTCCTCCTACTTTTTGTGTTGTATTGAATTATACCTCCCAACCTTCCTTGTTTGTTGGGATAAGTCTGATTGTCCGATAAAATGTATAAAAAGGGCTTTGTGAGAGGGAACATGTCACCCTGGATATGTGCCATGTGAGATAATATAGGATGACACTGCTAATTAGAGAATAGGGATGCACCGATACTCGTTCTCTCCCAAATGCTCAGATACTTATCCAGATACCGGAACTTCGGGTTAGAGGAAGCAACTTGGAGCTGGCTTCCCGGCCAATCAGGAAGCTGGGCCGCAGGTAATGACCCAGCTTCCTGATTGGCTGGGAAGCCGGCTTCCCGGCCAATCAGCATTGAGCCGGCCAAACAGACATCTCGATGCTGATTTGCTGAAAAGCTGGCTTCCCATGCAATCAGCATCAAGACGACCAAACAGCATACAGCCGGATTCCTGGCCAATTAGGAATCCGGGCAGTGGGTAATGACCCGGCTTGCTGATTGGCCGGAAGCCAGCTCCATGCTGGTTAGCTGGGATGCTTGCTTCCCGGCCAATTAGCATCAAGCTGGCCAAACAGCATGGAGTTGACTTTCTGGCCAATCAGGAACTCGGGCAGTGGGTAATGACCTGCCTCCCGGCTTCCTGACTGGCCGGGAAGCCGGTTCCATGCTGACTGGCCGGGATGCTGGCCTCCTGGCCAATCGACAAGGAACCAGCCAAACCGCATAAAGCTGGCTTCCTGGGCAAACAAGAAGCGGGGCAGCGGATAATGACACGCTGCCCAGCTTCCTGATTGCTCGGGCAGCCAGCTCCATGCTACCGAAAGTACCGGTATTGGAACTCTGTATCGGCAAGTACCGAAATATAAATATTGTACTCGATACTGAAGAACCGGTATTGGTGCATCCCCTAATAGAGAACATTTATAATGATTCAAGTGATAAGAAGGCTCTTTTTAGAAGGTCTGGAAAATATTGGGATTGGAAGATTACAATTATCTCTTAGAATTGGTGGCCAGTTGTGAGGCAATTTTAACCAAATTTTGATTGCGAAAACAGAACAAGGCAACATACCAACACCATTGTAGCTACACCCCTGCTGTAAATATAACTATACCCATTGTATACACACTGTCTTGCCTCACACCAAATAGACAGAATTCACTATACACCCTTCACTGCATACAGAAGTTTAAAACACCTGAATCTAGACCTGCTACTGGCATTCCACTTGTCTGAATGCAACTTCAAGTTCAGGCTCACCAAACTAGCACTTTCCTTGTTTTTGCAGAAGTACCCAGCACACTAAATGTGTATTTCTACAGAGCGGGTCCCAGTACACTATACTAGCATTTCTCCTGTGTTGGTAGAAGTACAGGTAAAAGACCCATCCTTTTTATAATTGCATTTCTTTCTCAGTAGAACTAAAGCACACCCTTTTTTAAATAACAGCCTGCAAAGTTCAGTCCTCAGTTAATTATATTTTATGCGAAATGCAAAAAGCTCCACACACTATTAATTACTGATTCTCTCTATCCTGATCCCTTCTGTACCCATGATGAATATAGTTGTGCTAGTTGGGTATAAAAAGGTGCAGAACATGGTTTGCCAGAATTGTTTAGCTCGCCAGTTCCTCTTCAGCTTCTGCATTTGCTGATATTCAGCACTGCTGCTTAATAGTTAAGTGTTTTTTTTTCTTATATCAAAAAAATACATCCCCTCCTCCCCTTGTTCATTGACTTTAGCCTAGACACAAACAGATGGGCTGGTATTTCCTTTTTCCCATGTGGGTTTTTTTTTTCCATTTCCATTGTACTTCTTTTATTACCATTCCCTGTGAGGCTGCAATAAGCTTTAAAACAAAGCTGGGCAGGAGCTGCTGTAAATTATGCACCCTAAAATACTATTCTAGTACACACCCCAAATGTTTTTGTTCCTCTGTGATGTCTAATCTCATCCATACACAGATGAAATGCTAAACCTGTGCAAGTGCTTCAACTGTGCAAGCCTGTTTCTATAGGAATTTACACTGGAAGTGGTCATAAATATTCATACCTTCCCATGTGCTCAAGACCTATATTATTTTCTTTTCAGCCTCACCTGCTTGTGATGCACCAGTCCGTGATGACGCTGCTTACGTCATTAAAGTGGTAATAAGCCATGTTTTTTTCTGTTTTCTCCAGTTTAAAGTTGTTTTAAAATAGCTGTACCTGCAAAGAAGAAAGTGAATACTTGCGTCTCCCTCTGTCGAAGGCCACTCCACTACAGACAAATCACTGGGTGAAGATTCTTCTGAAACCGACACTTCTGGAAGTGTCAGGGTTAGTTCACACCATCAGCAGTTCGTTCCGGTCCGATTCCGGACCGGAACGCACTGCCCACTTTGCGGCCGGCTCCCTATTTTGCTGGGCAGGAGGGGGCGTGGCGGGGTATTGCAGTGAATGGCACCGTAGCCACGCCCTGCGGCCGCAATGCGATCGCCCGCACGACAACTGCAAGGCACATTGTACCTGCAGTGCGTTCCGTGCGGTGTGTTCAAAATGCTGCAAGCACTGCAGCGGATTTACCTGGCTGTCTCTAGCTTTCGTATGTCCACTGCTGGTCCAGATCAGGCATCGAGGGTAGAACATTAGAATGAAGTCAGCACTCCTGTTTGGCATACATGTTCCTGGTCAGTACTTGAGATTCCATCAAAGCTGTTGGCTCAGCATGGCAGCCAAGCAAGAAGTATTTTCAAAAGGTCAGCAATTGCTGCCTATATATTCTCTCAGGGTAGGTTTGCTGTGCTGTACCAGATGTCTTTATTTATTACACTGAAACCTGGTGGTTACAGTATCTCTGGGTTGTGGGTCCCGTCTAGGCTGCATTTCAATTCAGGCCAACAGTTAAAGGTCCTTATAGCAGTAGATAGCAGGGAGATTGGTGTGTTCCATGAGCTCTTATTGTTTTTGCTCTGGTTCTTAGAGGATGTCCATACTGTAGTATGGGAAACCTCACCCCATCTTATACTACAAGTTGTTCACTTTAAATCTGCTAGTCCCATTGCTGGCTTAAAAAAGAACTCCAGGTAAAAATTGTTATTAACCCTTGCAGTGAGGTTACCCCTGCACTGCAAGGGTTAACTGCTGTGTTTTGCCCAAGGTCAAAAATAACAAAGTTATTCGTGCCCAATCTTCTGAGCCGGCCGGCTGTGACGGCACTCCCTCCTTCCTGTGTCTTCCTGCGCTGCAGGAATGGTATGTCCCTTGGTGTCCTCACGTCCTTCACACTGCGTATAGAATGTGATGACTCAGAGACCTTATATCGCTGCCGTGGAGGGGGAGAGAGTCTCCAGGGACCGGTCCAAGAGGATCGGGTGAGTACAACTTTTTTTTAATTTTCAACCCTAGGAATAAAACAAGCACTTTAGTAATGACCATAAGGGAAAAGTAATTAAAGGATTTCCACTCTTTTGGAATAAGTGAAGTGAAAATCTTTTAGGTTCTGCAAAGGCCATAAACTGTTAAAATGTCACAGATTCTGTGAAATGTCTGTTACCTATTTAAAAGTAAGCGTTTTTGTTCTCGCAGATGCAGTGGTACCTTCATAATCTGCTCTATTCACTGTTTTATACGCACTCCACCTTTCCTCAAACTATGCAGCCTAGGCAGTGCTGTTACTGATATGCAAATGTTGACTTTTTGTCAAAAGTCAATAAGCCTGCATCTTCATCTTTAACCACTCTCCTTGATGATAATACATAGTTACTGCTCTGCACAGAAGAGCAAGACATAACTGTTATAGGAATAAGTGCCTTTGATGTGTTGGCAGTGATTGACAACCTGGCTTTACCTTCTCTGTGTGAGAGGCAAGATGGCAGCCCCATTGGGGAAATTCTGTAGACCGACTGAAGCAAAGTAATTTTTTCTTTTCTTCCTGATTATGTTTCATTGAGCTGTTTATAAGCTGAGTAGTTATATTTGTATTATGATTCCTGACTGTACAGCGTGGCAGGGATGTGTAAATAATGTGAAATTATTAGGGATGCACCGAAATTTCAGCTTCGGCAAAAAATAGTACTTTGGGCAAAATGCTGAAAATACAGCCGCAAATTTAGTGCATCCCCAGCTTCTCTACTCCTCGCTGGACGCCGGTGTGTTTCTCCTCTGATGCCTGCTACTTTCCCCCATCTGTGTTTGCAGAGGCAGCGGGAATCTGAGGGGACACAGATCGGCGCCCAGTGGGGAGGAAAGAGGTTTTCAGGAGGTCGAGCTGGGCGGTGCAGGGATGAGACAGCTCAGGATGCCAAATGGGGCAGCACGGTGAGGAAAGGGCTGTCAGCTGTCACAGGTGGCTCAGCTCTCCTTCAACACCATTCCGCTTGGCCTCCTGTGACAGGCGAGTCAGGATGGAGGGTTACGTACAAGCACTCAGCCTTCCTCTGGATCAACAATGGGTAATTGTGGGCACAGTGTTTTGTTTAGCCTTTTCTTCATATCTCTATAGGTTGAACTCGATGTCTTGTGTCTTTTTTCAACCTGGCTAGCTCTGTAACTATGAGTGTTTGTAAATAACTGAGGACATAGTATGCTGTCCCCAGTTAAGAATTAACAGCGCTCTACATCACTTCCTGTTCATTTATGATTGTGGACATAGTAACTGTTCCTGTTCATTCATTAGGGGGGGCTGTTTAGACCTCTGGTATTTCCCCAGAGCCCCCGACAGTAAAGTAAAAAAATAATAATTTTAAAAATGTTAAAAAGGTTGGGGGGAAAGAAATGTCATTTTGGGTTGCGGCCTGACACATTTTTTATATTTGGTTTCGGTCTAGAATCAGACTTTGATTAATCCTGTTTGTAATGTTATACTTCTAGGAAAATCATCAGAATGGACCATTGTTTTGTGAACTGAAATTTTATCAAAGAGCAGCAAAACAAGATGATGGTAAGGAAAGGACAGTCATCTAATCGATGTAGTGCCATGTGACTTTTTTAGATTTACCCCCACTAGCAACACGTATTCCACTTGCTCTACTAAAAAGTGGTGCCAGGGCCTGGCCTTTTCCTGTGTAAGAAGGTAAAGGGTATCTAAACCTAAAACAAAAACGAAAAACATCAGACATTGTAGCTTACCAGCCATTAGAAGTGGGGAGTCTTATTATATATTTTATTCAGGCTTTTTTGCATTTATTTCATCCTGTAATCCTGCAATTAACACATGTCCTGTCCCTAGGTGGCTACATTCACTCCACTGTGTCTATGGAGCCATGGTTGTTACTAGGGATGCACTGCTACTGAGTATTTGGGCGAGTACTCCCGATGCCTATCAGGAAGCTGGGCGGCGAGTCATTAGAGGCTGCCCAGCTTCCTGATTGGCCAGGAAACCTGCTTCATGCTCCCTCGTCACTAAGTGACGGGGAGCATGTGAGTATTTCCCTCACCTTTGAAAGCTTTTCTCTCACTTCCTGGCCAATCATGAAGGCGTGGATGTAATGACTCGCTGCCCAGCTTTGTGATTGGTCGTGGAAGCTGGCCAATCAGGAAGCTGGGCGGTGAGTAATTACCTGCCCCCCGGTTTCCTGATTGGCCAGAAAGCTGGCTCCATACTTCCTCGTCACCTAGTGACAAGGGAGCATGAAGAGGCTTCCCGGCTAATCAGGAAGCCGGCGTCGAGTCATTACACGACGCCCAGCTTCCAGTATCGGTATTTCGGTATCGGCGAGTACCGGGAAAAAAATATCGATGTATTACAATGTATCACAGTTTTGTTTTTGGGGTTAGACATCCTTTTATCCCTCATTCACATCTCTTTGATGAGGAAGTGTGTGCGTTCTTGTACATGACCTTGCATTGCATGAAATTGCATGTTGCATTGTTTGCTGCCACTGTTTTAATGGCATCCCAATGCATCTAGCCATTGCATCTCACCACAATGCATGGTAACTTATTATCATGCTTTGTGGTGCAATATAAATTAATACAATTTAAAAAGTCCATGCACTTCTTTGAGTGTGATCAGATGTATTTGGCAGGCCATTCAAATTAATTGGCTTCCCTACCACAATGTACCCTTCAACGCACTTGTGATGTCGCATTGCAGTGATGTGAAGGAGGGATTAAAGCTAATTCAGAATTTTTCTTTTCATATGGAGAAACATAATGTTTTGTTTTATGTTTTTAATATATATTTTGTGTGTGATCACATTCAAATGTATATTAAAACAGTAAAAAATTAAATTTAAATAAGTAAACAAAAATCCCAATGACGTTTAATATCTATTTTGTGGTATACATATACAGGTCTGTAAATATTCATCTTAATATGTTTGATTGTAGTTACAAAATGGATTCAGAGCCACAAACTGGATTATTTAGGAATTCCGAGGTACTGGGGATCTGGGGAGACGACATTCAATTTAATAAGGTAAGCATGTTGTGTGCGGCAGGGAGGTGCAGTCACCCAGTAGCTTCAATGGGGTCATCTCAGTTCATTAAATCTCCAGATGCTAAAGTTTAAAACAGTGGCATTTTAATTGGTGAAGACACAGATGTTTTCTCAGGCTATTTATGAGCTAAACTGAAGCTAAAACTAACAATATATGCAAAAATGATTTCAGGTGACAACATTTAGCTAGGATCCTGTGAAGGAACACATTATTAGCATCTAGCTGGCTACAAAGAGACTTGTTTTTTTATTCTAATAGACACACACGTTTTTAAATAATAGAGCTTTGTTAGGGCTATTTGTTTAATGACATGCTTCTCACTGTGTCTAATTTATAAAAAGCTAAAGGGCCAGTCTACCTAAAAATGATATTTCAATTATTGCTAAACGCTGGGAAGTTTAAGTATATCTAACATCTTGGATAGAGTGGTGAGGGGCCAATCCCAAGCATGTGTTTATTGCTGACTCTGTCCCATGGAGAGGTTTTCCCTCCCTCGCTTTACCCTGGTGACCATTGTCACTAGGACTGAAAGTAGTTAAATTGTCACCAGAACAGAAATAGAAGGAAAGTATTCCATGGGGATGCTTTTTTGTGGTGACATCTGAGTATTTCCCTCACCTTTGAAAGCTTTTCTCTCACTTCCTGTTGTGTCTATGTGACAGGAATTGAAGGGCAATCTCCCTAAATGAACCCTCCCTACTCTAAACAACCTAAGCAACCTTACATTTTCTTAAATCTCCTGGGGAGACTCCCTGGTCTGAACTCTGTGCTTGACTTCCTGGGTCTATACATCTTCTGTGACTATTATAAGGGGTCCCCACTCTATCTACAGCAGGGACTGGGGGCTCTGTCAAGAGAATCAGCAAAATTATAAAATGATTTTTAAAGCAAAATTACACTCATACTTTTTTCTAGGTAGAGTGGAGAAGGTTTAGAGCAGAGTGTCTCAACTTGGTATATACTATGTATGTACATTTACAGAAAAGCTAGATGTTTAAAGAGGAACTTTACCCTTATCTTTGAAATGACAACAAAGGCACCTTTAAACATGTTTAGTAATGACATTCTACAAACAGATACTTATCAATAATTGCTGGCTTCCTAATCTTTGTATACCTTTATTGTTCTTCTCACTCCTTTTACTTCCTGGAACTCTGGCACATGTGACTAGGACATGTGACCATGCACATCATCTAAGGGAAAATATAATGTCTTTCCCTGAGATCTTGTGAGATTACAGATGAGATTTCCCAGCAATTCTCTGCTGATGTAACCTTCCCAGTATGCAATGCTTAGGCACATGACATCACTAATGTCCAAGAGGACCAGGAAGTGGAAAAACAATAATTGTAAGTCAAAGAAAATATGTTTGTTTAATGATTTCATATCAGCATGCAGAGCTGGGGGTAAAGGTCCTCTTAAATACATTTCCCCTTTATGTGGATCTCAGGTGCTTCTTCACATATGCTCATTTATTATCCATTAATCAATCCCTATTGATTATTCTCTACATGAATATAAATCCTTGTAAGGATCTTTCTTTTTTTAATATTTAGTATCAATTGTTTTGTGATGAATTTTAGAATTAGCTCCCATTTCAGAAGTACATTTGGGTCCAGAACCTCTGTGGAGTTTTATTGGCATGTGTCCCCTAAAAAAAAAAAAATCCCTGTACTTCCTGTCCTGGTGTCTGGTACAATTGGGACAGGAAGTGAGTGAATCTCTTCAAAAGGGACAGACAGCAATAAAACACCTTTTGTTTTAGTAGATGGGTGGGATTAGAACATCTGTCATGTTTTTTTATTGTCGTCTGTCTTTATTTCCCGTCTTGGAGACTGATGTGACCAGGACTGGAAGCAAAGGGAATTACAGCAATGATAACCTGTCAAAGATGAAGATCACCAGCACTCCAATAGTACCAATAATCCTTGTGCTTATTTATTGAAGTGAAACATCACAAACATGGCAATATCATATTTGTGATGTTTCACTTCAATAAATAAGCACAAGGATTAATGCTACTACTGGAGTGCTGGTGAACTTCATCTTCCACAAGTTTGATACACACGGCACCATCTGTGACTATCAGCGCACACACCACATTTGTTCAGGTCCAATCGCTGAAAGGAGTGCAGGGGACACATCCGTATACTACATAGCAATAATAACCTGACAGGTTTTAACACTTCCTCTCTTTATCTAAAATCTAAGAAAAAAATGTAGCTGCAGTCAGGACCTGCACTCAGGAAGTTAAGATTTGCTATGTTATAAGGAATGTTTGTTAAATGTTATTTGTGCCTAGGCAGTACCCTGAACATGCACATTTTGTCTTTAAAAAATAGTAGTGCACTTCCTGGTATTTAAGGGTGATACAGCTCTCCTACGGTCTCAGAGCTGTATATCTGCAGTGTGAACTACTTCCTCTGACTGCTAGTCTCAGCAGATTTGGTGATGCGACTACTGTGTTGTGCTCTGTTCTCTTTGCTGGGGGCTCTGATATAATGAAGCAAAGCCCTGCCTGTACCAAGGGAAAAAGCATCTGCAGGGAGGCCAGTGGCAATTCTGGTGACTAGTTCTGTGTTCTCTGCCTGCCTTATATGGCACGGCTTCCAGAGGTTAGTTCCTGTTTAAGCATTGCAGTCTAGGCCAGTGGTGGTGAACCTTGGCACTCCAGCTGTTTTGGAACTACAAGTCCCATGAGGCATTGCAAGGCTCTGACAGCCACAGACATATCTCCCAGAGGCAGATGCATGTTGGGATTTGTAGTTTTGGCACAGCTGGAGTGCCAAGGTTCGCCATCACTGGTCTAGGCTAACATCTTGTCTTACCAGCCACCTCTCTATTGGAATAATTTGAAATAAGTTGTGAAAGTTGTGAAGGCCAGCTGGTAGGGGTGACATACCTTATTGGGGGCACATTTCATCTTCTTTCATGAAGGTTGCTTGTTTGAAAGTGGGCACATATTGAGTGAGTCTACAGTCATCAGGTTATAGGAATATTATAGCAGCAAAGATTATTTAACAGATGGGGATTTTTGGTTATAGAAGTGGTAGTTCATTTTTAGGAGGATGAAGCTGCATAAAAAAGGATCTCTTGGAAATCTGTTTCTATCCCCATCAAGCAAAAAAATCATTTTAGTGAATGATCACGAGTAGTTTTATTGCATTTTCAGAACTCCTACTGTACACTGTGCCTAAAACGTTTGGAACAATAGATACAACCTATTAAAATACTTCCGCTACTGTTCAAATTATTTGTGGTTCATGCAGTGGGTATATGTCTTTGTATCAGAGGATTCTTTATATCTGGTAGACAGTATGGGGAGAATACTGTAAGACTTCACTGCTAGGATCTCATCAACATGGTTGCAGAGGCAACCTTTAAGCCCAGTTGAAGTTTTTTTTGTTTTTTTACTCCGTACGTATATAAATAAAATGTGAAGCAACAAACCTAAATTTTAAATGTCTCACTTTTTGATGTTTATTTAATTGAGCTTCAGCACAAGAAAAAATACCTCTCCCTCAGACCATAGGCTGCCGATAAATGCTGTTGGGTGCTGACACTGTCCTTCCTTCTGGAGGGTGGCTACTTTTGTTCCCCATGGTCCCTGTGTGTGTTGTACATTTGTCTCCGCTCCAAGCTCACTCCTGTGATGGATTACAATCTCACATTTAGTTTACTAATTTGTATTAAGATTATATAGATGTAACATCACAGGAGTGAGCTTGGAGTCAGTAGGAAGGACAGTGTCAGCACCAATTCAGAGATGATTGGAGGATCTACAGCTGAATGATACACAAATATGATGCATTGTTGCTAATAGTTAAGGTACTTTAATGTATTTTCAAGATTCAACTTCTGAGTTTAGTAACAGTTTAACCTGGAATGAAGTAAATGCTTATGGGTAGGGGCATTCTATATTTTAAAGTGAACCTGAGCAGATAGAATTATGGGAGCTTCTATTGCTAAAAGTACATACTCTGAAGCTCTCATCTCAAACCACACTTTTTTGTCTATTATTATTATTATAAAGGATTTATATAGCGCCAACAGTTTGTGCAGCACTTTACAATATAAGGAAGACATTACAATCACAATACAATTCAAGACAAGATTGTAAGGAGGGCCCTACCCGTGAGGGCTTACAGTCTAGCCACCTAACCTGGAAAAAGCATGCAAATCATGTGCTTAGATATTCAGAAAAACTGGCAAAATATTTGTTCCATGTATGTGGCTCTTTAGGTATAAAAACCATAAGCAGGATGACATCTTACACCTTAAAAAGTTAGTTATAGCCATATTTTTATCCTCACTGTTTCACCTAAATATATTCATGTTTAATGTCTGTCATTTATTTCCCTTTTCTAAGCAAGTTTAATTGCCATTGTTTTAATATTGATTTCTCTCAACAGTTACAGATTCATGGTTATAGATCGCCTTGGTTCAGATTTGCACAATTTACAGAAAAGTAACAGTGGCAGATTGCCACTTCAAGCAGTAATGCAAGTTGGCGTACGTATGGTAAGTTTTTAAGAAACACTCTAGTCAATATTTAAATTGAGACCTTGAGATACGTACTGTACATGGTGCTTGCTTAGCCAGTGAGTTGTTTAGTTTTTTTTCCATTCAGACATTGCTGTAATGCACCAATCCAGCCTGCTCCTTTTTACTGAAATCTGGTGATCCTGGAACACACCTGCTGGTGATGCCAGAACATTCTTTTTGCTACCTCTAACACAGACTTAAGGTACCCATACACCTTACGACCATCGCAAGACTTTCATCTTGCGATGGTCGTAAGCTTATTAAAAGCTTGTACGATCTGCCCATCTTGGACAAGCAGATCGTACTTGCGATCATCGCATGCCGGCCCCACTGCGGGGCGGGCTTCTGATGACTGCAAAGAGGGGCGGGCTTCCGATGACTGCAAACGGACAGTGTGCACGTGCGCACCCCGGCTCGTTCGGCAGTTGTCGAACAAGCAGGCCACTAACCCGCTGAGAATCGTACGGGTTTTCCAGCCTGCTTGTTCGACGGAAGACGTGCGACCGTACAGTAGAAACGGTCGCACGCCTTCCATACACTTTGCAATTATCGTACGATCGCGGGATTTCCCGCGATTCTCGTACGATAATCGTACAATGTATGGGCACCTTTACCCTATTGTGAAGTTGCCAATACTAAGATGTTTCTCACTGCCACCAATCGGATGAAACCTGCAATGGAAGTGTGAACGTGATTGGGGGTGCAGAAGGAGGAGAACTAAGGACCATATCATCAGCAATTTTGTGGCAGTGGTGCCTCGCCGATACAAAGTGCTAATGTCATCGATTAGCAGTAATTTGTAGCGAATGTCATAATCACTATAGTTGCTTGCGAATTGTCACTAAGAAATGATTTTTCACAGCTACAGGTCAAACTTGTGCTACAATATTAAGCTGGTGCTTGCAGCTAAGCAATAGTGATTGTCGCTGAAGATTTTGACGCTGACATGAAACACCACACAAACTGCCAAGCTACAAATCACAGTAAAATGAGCAAGTAAGCGATTCCCTAGAATATATGTATAATTTCCGAACCCAGAAAGAAGAGAAATTCTGCAAATAAATGGCCCATCTGATATTAGCCCTTATATAGAAGAGGATCAGAAATTACATTTCTACTGCCCTCCTAATCTTACAGGAGATTACACAGAAATTATATTATGTACACAGAGTAAACTTTCCAATACAGTTTCATTGTTTGCTGGATTTCATTAATTGCTAATTGAAGGGCAGTTTCCAGCTACAAGTAAAGGCAGCCAAAGCAAAGTTTTATTAATTACACGCATAACTGTACTCCATTTATTTCACTTCTTACATAATAAGGCACTTAATAAGCCAAGTACAGCGACCCATAGGAACCAGTCATCTTTCCCTCAAAGGAAAACTATGAGGTGAGTGATTTACACTCACCTCATGGTTAGAGCCGACGTGTGACAATGAAACTGTCACACGATGACACTATAAATCGGGAAATGAGCGAACACATGCCATCGCTCGCTCACTTCCCGATCATCTCCCTGCAGAAAGCGATGACTGTCAGTCAACACTACCCGCAGGGATTCCCCCCTTCTCTCTCCGATCCTTCAGCACTGACTGGAGGAACATATGGGGAGGGGGTGGGCACAGCTGCCTCTAGATAGGCAAAGCCAGCTGTCAATTAGCCAGCTGGGTGGATCTCAACAGTATTGCCGGGATCCGTCCCGGCAGCGGCGTTCTCGGTATATAGCGTGCAACAGCTACTGAGCTTCGGGGCATGGAAGGAGGTTAGTATATGTTCTCCGTGACCCTAAAGAGAACTATGGGATAAAAAGGTTACCCAATAGTTCTCTCTTAAGTTAGGTTGCTATAAGTAAAAGCACATATCTTTAAAATGGAACTCTGGGCAAGCATACCACTCCATAACTAGTCCTTGCCACAATCCAGCTAGGTGAAAATAAAAGAATTGCCTTTTATTTCTGCGTGGGAATCAGTTTACATATGCTTTTTTTAGGTCTTAAGGCTAGTTCACAACAAGCGCATTCCAGGAGCAGAGCAGAGCAGTTACACACCGGATCAAAACAGCGTTCAATGTATTCCAATGGCATTTTGGGCTCTAGTTCACACCGCAGTGTTCAGTTCCAGAGCATGTCAAAAAACTGCAGCAAGCCCCATTTTCCTGCTCTGGAACGCATGCAAAGCCCTGGAACGTACTGAAAGCCCATTTTAGGCTAAAAAAAACCACCCCTGAATGCTAAAAAAAACGCGGCATGCTGTCACCTAGTTGGCACATGGGGCACGTAGCAGTACGGAGATATCCCTAGGAAACAATACTGCCCAGATTTTCACTTTCATTTGCAAAATTATTTTTGACTTTGTTTTTACATGCTAAAATGTTATATTTTCTTTGTTACAGAGAATTTTAACCGGTTATTCCTTGTGTTTTAGTTGGATGTTCTAGAATACATACATGAACATGAGTACGTGCATGGTGATATAAAAGCAGGAAATATTCTCTGTCACGTAACAGATCCCAGCAAGGTAAAAATGATTGCTTTGTTGCAGGTTATTCTGTGCATTTGCAATTAATCTTTAGGTGCTAATGTTTGAGTTTGAAAAGAGCAGAAAAGAATTACAAGATTCAGCTCCTATCGACTTCTGTTGGTTTGAGTGCCATGTTTGGGGTTCGTGGATTTCTCGTTGGGTTTGGCGTGCGTCCAGGGAACCAAACTTTATTCATCTCGCTCATCCTCCTGATTGGTTGCCATGGATAGCTGCTCCAGATTTTGTCTGCTCCAGTTTTGATAAATTCCCCTCAATAAGTGTTATGATAGGATGGTGTGCTTATATTTCCCTGCAGCTAGTTCAGGTGGCACATCTCCGCCCAGCCTTGCAATGTTAATGGCACTCATGAATTGCTGCTGGGAGATGCTTGATGCTGGTCCTGTATCTCCCTGTAGCTAGTTTAGGTGCCAGCCCCCCACACTGCTTTAACAATTGACTGCGGCTCTTAAGGTGGTGATACACTGGGCCGAAATTCTCATAATCGGTGCCACTGTCGGCACCCTTCCAGCCAGCATCTCTTGATCAGCTGATCGAAGAACCTGGTCAGAAAATCTTCGTACGAACAGAGCCAGCAGCCAATGATTTGCCAGCTCTGTTCGGCCACTGTCAGTATACAAAAAAATCAGCAGGGATTCCTCGATCAACACGCTTGTAGTGTTGATCGAGTAATCTGCTCAATTTTTTTTTTTTTTCGTACAGCCCGCAGGTTGAACGAAAAAAAATAGAGCAGTCTATGGCCAGCTTTAGCAGTCAGATATAATTATGCAGGTGCAAGAGATACACCGCCTTGCACTAGGAAGAGGGAGAGGAAGGGAGGCTGGGTGGCCATGTGACCATATAATAAAAGTGAATTTCAAGTGACACAATAACATGTGGGTACTAGAGCTATTGAAAATAATTTGCAGTGCTGTACTTCTGTTAGTGCAGCTTCACAAGTGTGTTAAGAAGTCTAATTTGTTATGGCTGATTTAATTAATAATATTAAAAATAATAATGCCAATAATATATTAAGACAAAAAGTGCGATTGCAGATAAATAAGAAAAACAGAGGGGGGTGTCAATGATTATAGAAAGAAAGAAGTTCAGGACATGCCTTCCACTGATGTACTTAGGTGGAATTAGATATATCTGCAGAGCCTGAAATTTTCGGCTGACTCCTTTGTTTACTTTATTTCATCTGCCTTCAGGCTTCTTACGGTGTGAATATACAAGTCTATTTTTAGCTGAAGTGCTACTTTCCAAGTTTACAGGCGCTAGGTTTTTTTTTTTCCCTCCCTCCTCTGTTCTTTCGGCTCCTGAAAGTGTTATGCAGATTAGCATAGATTAACCAATATGATTCTCCATAAAGCATGCTGCACTGTATAATGCCATTGGTTTACTTACAATGGGAGATGATTTATTTTCAAGCAAGAAAACCATACATTGCTATTTTAACATGTTTTAACATATTTTAGCAAATAAAATGAGCTGCTTTGAATATGCAGCTGCTATGGAGATTTGAATGGGAATGAAAACATTGCTTTTTTTTTTTTTCTTTTTCTCTGGTTTTATCATTTTGTAACTCCTTTTCACATTTTTTTTTTCTATTGTGTGGAGCACACCCAGCAGTAAATAGTATTTTAGTTAAAATCAGGTATGCAATTTCCATGGAACAATGTAGGAATGGTATCTGTACTAAACAATGATTAACCTCATAAATGGAGCTTCATAGTACTTTCTTTATGGATGTAACACCTAATTATGTCTTTATTAGGGAGAGGATAGGACATGCTCTGCAGAAAAACACATAGGATACATGTTAACACAGATCTGTTATGAAAACATTACACGTGTTTGGTGATGGGGATAGTGGAACAGAGTTAATTATAGAATGCTGATGACATTTAAAAATCCACAAATACTAATTCAGATAAATGCAAAATAAGGCATTCCCGGTCAGATCCCTGCTTGTTGTGATCCACTTAGTAGACCTTAGACATGTTCCTCAGTCTCTCCAAACCGTTCCTGACACCAAATAGCTCACTGCACACAAGCACTGCAAGAAGTGTCTCAATAAGGGCCCATTCAGACCACATCCAGATTACCTCCAGACCAGACCATTTCTGTTTCCGGACCCAAAATGCATCCCTATGCTATTTCTGGCCTCTGTTCCCACCAGCGCAGTCCGTTCCTGACCAGACCAGAAAAATAATGCTTGGCCGATTTTGTCTGGTATGCACTGGAACGCATCAAAATGCATCAAAACCCCACTGGAACGCACCTGTAAGATTCCAATTGCGGTAAAATCGCGGCAAAAATGCAATGCACTATGTTCCAAATCTGGTCCAGAAAGTGGTGTGAACCCAGCCTGAAAGCTGAATGCCAGATAAACCACTAAATAAACTGGTAAGATACATACAAGGGAGCCGTTTTACCTGCCAAATGACTTGTATTTCTGTCCATACACTTCTAAGACTTGCACAGCTCTGTCTGTCAGGGCAGGACACCTTGATTCGTCTTTGGACCAGTTCAGGTCTCCTCTTCACCCCCAGCCTTTGACTGGACAGTCAAAGGACAAGCAGCAAACTGGTGAGCTCATCTCTCTTCTTACTGTCCTTGCACTGCAGCACAACTGATTGCATCCTCGTGCTGCTTCTCCCTCCCTCAACCTGAGCTCTGCTGTACAGGAACTACAAGAGACTGATTCAGGCACTTAGATTGCTTACATTGAAAAAAATGTAAGGCTGTATTAATGAATACAAAGCTTAATTGATTTGTATGTTTTATATCTGTCAGCTTTAGTGTGAGATGCAGTTCCTGACCAAGAGTCTTGTTAATGTTTGTTTTTCTGTTTCGAATCATACCTGTTGAGAGAGCATCTACGAGTGATGTGTTTTACTGCATTTTTCCCCAATATAAAAATGCATAGGTTGAAGTTACCTTCATTGAAATGTTACTTTAAGCTAATCAGTAGATCCAGAGATAATCGAATCTAAAGTTATATATTGTAGAAAAAAAAATTGTATCAGCCTCCTATCACAGTAGAAAGGGATAACAGGGAGGTTTGGGAGATTTAAAGTGGTGGGTAAAGCTCCATTTTTCCTGAGTAAACGGAGTATTCACAATTTACAGTACTGAGGGGGTTAGAGAGGATTTGTACAAATTTATGACCTTGGCCTTTAGGGCCCATTCACACCATTTCCAGACCAGAATTTTTTTTGTCTAGACCAAAAACGCAAAGCCATTCATTTCTATGGTAAAAAGTGAGCCCAGTGCATACCATTGCGTTTGGTCCCAGAACGTTTAAAACAAAGTACTGCATGCACTATTTTTTCTGGTCTGGAATGCACCAAAATGCATGTAAATGCACTATGAATCCAATTGAGACTTAAAAAAACACACTGAAACTCATCAAAAATGCATCAACAACGCATCGGCCCGTGTTGGCAGAAATGCACCCAAATCTGGTCCGAACATGATGTGAACAGGCCCATAAAAGATAACTATGGTGTAAATGTTTTTCCCCATAGTTCTCTTGAGGGTTCACGGCAGGACATATACTAGCGTCCTCCCGTGACCCAAAGCTCATTATATTACGAGCTACAGCTTGCAGTATACTGAGACGGCCGCAGCCGGGACGGATCTCGACAATGCTGATCTTCACTCACCTCATAGATCTCATTTAAACACAGTCGAGTTCCTGTACTGAATGCTTTAAAAAAATGTAATCTGAAAGTCTTTTATACACTAAAATGACTTCTGCAAAGTGTTTCAGTTTGTCTAGTGGTTGGGTCACCTGTCCAGTGTTACAAATTAAGATGTCATTAAATTCCCCCCTCCCCCCAAAAATGTTGCTGTAAGCACTTACCTTATTTGATACCTCTTGACCCGATCATGTTCTTCATTCCACTTGTTTCTGACAGTCCCTCCAGTGCTGGTCTCTGATCCACTGCAGATTCCTCAGGGTGTCTGTCCGACGTGCGCGCACCTGGCTGCGTCCATTGAGTTTCATTTTCTCCCCTCCGCTCTACTGCGCATGCGCCTGCACAGTTCTTCTTCACAGCAGGGAATGCTTTAGCTGGGAGAAAGTGGAGCTGGAACAGGTAAGTAATTAGGTATTAGCCTAATTTTTTTTTTATTTTGTTTAATCATGGGGCATATATCTACTGCTTGCTAGCAGTAGAAATATGCCAAAAAACGAGACCGTAATTATACTTTAACACTGAATATTAAAAAAAATGTGACATTTACTTATTACCAAAAATGTCTGTTTTTATATTATAAATATACTATTATATATTGTTATTTTGTTTTTCCAACCAGTCATACGTCTATGCATATGCTAAAATATATCAGATTTCTCTTTCTTCTACTGCAAGCGTGCTGATTTTATGAATAGGAATTTACAAATTCCTCAAAGTTCTGTTTGAAGAAGAAGAAGAAAGTGTTCTTACCCCTTGCA